TTTGAACTATGGCATTATATGAACATAACATTCCATCTTTAACAATATCATTTATATAAATTACATCATTTTCAATCCAATGTTTAAAAAATAATGGTCCCAAACCATGGTGGGTCACGTGCATTATCTCATGGAAATGGGCATACCAGTGCAAATATCTTTGTTCCGTGATAAAGGAAAGCTATCTAACATTGTCTGAAAAGCATTCTAATTCTACTTTTAACATGGCGACCTGGACAACATATAGCCATTTGGGCGATAATAGGTGATTCTAAAGTGAAAATGAGTGCTTTTTTCGTAGCTTTACTTTGACCAAGGCTTGCAAAAAATTGAAGTGATAAACCTTCCCCCAATTTTTGATATTTTTGTTGTCTAGAAGTGTTCTAGATGATATCAAAGTTTAAGAAAATTTGTATGTCTCGAAATATTTTGAAAATAAGTGCCATTATGGCGGGTCTGGGTGTTTTTTGCTCTCATTTTTACCCATTTCCACGGTTGCCAACCTACCGTATTTTTACCGGCATCTACCATAAAATATTCGTTTTTCGGTAAAAAAACACAAATACCGTAAAAATTACTGTTTTTTCCTGTAAACACGACCGTAAAAAATCTACTGTAATTTTACCAAAATCTACCGTAAAATATTTTATTATAATTCGATTTTTTCTATAAGAACAGCCTAAAAATATACCGTAAATATTTGAAAACTACAATATTTCTGCTGGAATTTAAAGTATTCTTGTTCAAACTACCGTAAAATCTACCGTAATTATCATGAAATTCTGAAAAATTGAATTCTTCTCGTATTGCCCTTGTAAAATGCCATTACCAACTCAAAAATAAATAGGTGCCGGCAGGTCTTTGATGGTGGTTATTGCGTACTTAGTAAGTAACTAAGTAAGCTGGCGTGTAATCAGTCAACACACTGGGGAATATCACAATGCAAAAACAGTGTTCAACTGTGTATCACAGGAAGAGTAATCATGATTAATTTGTAAAATGCTACATTGTAGCAATGGTATGAGTATGATGTCGCGATACACTGGGGCCTAACTGGCGTAAAGGGGAGAAAAGGGCAGATTTTCCACATGGGGACCACATTTAACTCAAAATATTTGCATTTAGCAACATACATTTCAGTACATTCTGTGTAATACTTGAAAGGCATTGCTATAATGATTTACAAAATGAGATAATCTCGGGGATTTTGCATCTAAATTTTTTGCATGAGATGTCTGAAGTTGATGACCCAATTTTAGGTCATTTTGGCCAGTTTTTAGAGACTCAGCCCTCACCTATTTCCCCAAATATGACTAGATTTTGTAGAAAATGTGTTAAATGACATTGTGTGCCATTTTAGAAAGAAATCGCCAAAATATAGTGCCGTAAACTGGAACTACTTTATTCGTTAATTTTCATCGGTGAAGCAGGGATTTTACCTAAAAATGAGTCCCTATGTTGGCGTAGTGATATTTAAAAATCGAGACGCAAACCCTATGTTAAATGTATGGTCAAGATGAAGGTTATGTATAGGGGAACGCAGAAATATAGTTATTGTATGGGCTAATTCGTTCGAAAATGGCGATATGTATCCCAAACTTGAATTTTGTGATTTTTTCAATATTTTTCAATGATTTACCGTAGTGACACCTAAATGGAAATATAAACACTTCCGGTAAATATTCGGTTCAAGTGCGAATTTGGACAAACTTTTGCAAGTTTGACCAGGAAATCACCTTTCATTTGGTATGTTAGTAACGTTTTTGACCGTATTGGGTATGTAAGAATCATATACATGTCGAGTTATTAGCATAAATGTCACAGTTTGAAGGATAAATGGAAATATAACACTTCCGGGAAATATTGTCACAAAAGCCTTTTGGACTTTTAGTCTCTATATACTATTCCCTATATTTTTAGAATATACCATTGATAGTGCTGAGTGTGGATATATTCTGCTCGAGAAATTCCGTATTAGAACGAAACGAAGTCGAGTGCCAATACAGAATATTGAGAGCAGAATATCCTGAATTGCACTTCAAATCATTCTATAACGTTTTTATTGTGTGCTCTTCTGTATTGCTACTGAGAATGTCCTCTCCGTACCAATATTTTCTGTTGCAACGGAGATGATCAATGGGGACAATCTCAGTAGCAATACACATTGGTACAGCACAAAAACTGACCAATCAGAAGGCTTCATTTTACAGATCATACGATAATAGGTAATGGTGGAACGAAAATATTTTTGAAAACGTTGCTATATTATACCTGCATACCCCCCCCCCCCTAGAGTCAAAACAGAAATGTTTGGGAGTACTTTGAATTTTAAAAATAAGCAATCAAATGACCATATTGAAACAGTTAACAATAGAAACATTTATATTTATCCTAACTTTTGTTTATTTTAGTTTGTTTTGTAATTTAGCTATCATATCTGTGTCCTCTTATATTTTGATACTTCTCTGCCATGTTATTTTCGGAAAAATTAACATGGCTGAAACTCCCTAAATTACAAAAGGCCACAGCATTGCTGCACATTATACATTACTATCTGAAATATATAAAAGTTGGGATGAATAAAAATGTTTCTATTTTTACATAAACTGTTTCAATATGGTCATTTGATTGCTTATATTTTAAATTCAAAGTACTCCCAAACATTTCTGTTTTTACTATATCACACCAAACTAGTTCTAACCCGTTCTTGCCAATCCTACAAAAACGTCGTAAAACGGGCTCAATCTGGCTGTGGTCGGGAAATATGTCTAAAATAATTAACTTCTTCGTTCATAAACAGTCTTCAATAAGTCCATCTCATTCACAGTTCGTTCAGGTCGCACCACGTCGGTTTGCAACGTCGTATAACGCGTCCCTTAGTCTAGAAGGTCATCATGGCCTGATAACAGAACGGTATGGTCGCCATCGAATTTTGAATCGATTCAAAATTCTAAATCATGTTTCCCGTCCGGGAAAGTCCATGAAGTTCGTAAACAGAGAGGTATATCCAGAATTATGGCAATGTCTATACCTTCTATACATTGTCTATACTTTCTATACTTTCGATCTCCTTTTTCATACTATCTGCCTTCGACGTTTCTATACTTTCTATACTTTCGAACTGCTTTTTCATACCAACTGCCTTTGACAAATCAGATGTCTATAGTTTCTATACTCTCGAAATGCCCGTTCATACTAACTGCCTTTGACAAAGCAGATGTCTATAGTTTCTATACTTTCTATACTTTCGATCTGCTTTTTCCTATAACTGTCTAAGACAAATCAGATGTCTATAGTTTCTATACGTTCTATACTTTCTATCTGCTATTTCCCAGAACTGTCTTCGACATATCAGATGTCTATACTTTCTATAATTTCTATACTTTCGATCTGCTTTTCCCATAACTGTCTTCGACAAATCAGATGTCTACAGTTTCGATACTTTCTATACTTTCTATCTGCTTTTCACAAAACTGTCTTTGACAAATTAGATGTCTATAGTTTCTATACTTTCTATCTGCTATTTCCCAGATCTGTATTCGACATATCAGATGCATTCGATCTGCTTTTTTCCCAGAAATGTCTTAGACAAATTAAATGTCTATAGTTTTTATACTTTCTATATTTTCGATCTGCTTTTCCCCATAACTGTCTTCGACAAATCAGATGTCTATAGTTTCTATACTTTCTATACTTTCGATCTGCTTTTCCCCATAACTGTCTTCGACAAATCAAATGTCTATAGTTTCTATACTTTCTATACTTTCGATCTGCTTTCCCCCATAACTGTCTTCGACAAATCAGATGTCTATAGTTTCTATACTTTCTATCTGCTTTTCCCCATAACTGTCTGTTTTTTACAATACATTGAGGCAATTCACCAAAATCGAAAGTGACCAAGAAACTTATGACGTCACATATTTTTTTACAATGTATAGAAAGTATCGAAAGTATAGAAAGTATGGACATAGGGATTTCACCAAAGTGTAAAGTATAAAAAGTATCGAAAGTATCGAAAGTATAGACATGGGGAATTCACCAAAATAAAAAGTATAGACAGTATAGAAAGTATAGACATGTATAGACTTTAGAGAGTCCAATCGTCTAAGACTGAAAAAAGTATCATTCAAAAAAAGCAGTTCGAAAGTATAGAAAGTATAGAATATGCCATAATTTTGGATATACATGTAAACAGACAGTATAACGTTGTAGGTACGTTCAATCAGTTCGCACACAGTTTAAAACCGATTCGGCTTACTCGAGTCTCTAGCCGATTTCATCTGGAATACTGTGAACTAGATTTGAAAAAAGCTTGCCGTCGTGTAATAAATTTATTGAATATTTTAAAAATCGCCAAATAAATAAATCATTAATCAAAACGGACCCCGCTCGGCTCCTTGATCAGATATGACATGATTTCATCAGGATTTAGTCTAAAATTAAATGGCTCCAAGAAAAATGGCGATGTTCGAAAACTGGACGAAATGTCGTTAACGTCTAAAATTAGTAACTGGCTGCAATTCAGTGGTCTTCTTTTCAAAATTGCAAAAAATCCATAGTGCACTCTGGCCGTAAAGCATGTTTTCAAAAATATTTTCATTCCACCTTATCATACTGCACTTTGGTTTTTTGTAATTTTGAAAAGTAGACCACTGAATATTCTAGTTATTCACATATTCTGTTTGGAATTACCAAGCCCCAATTAATGATCTAGGTACAGTACAGTAATGCACCTTTTGTGCAAAAATTGTAGATGTAGGGGAGAGCGGGGTAAGATGGAACGCGGCTTCATCCTCGTGTTGTACCTTAACCCGAGCGTTCAACTGTCACGCTTAATTCGGTACAGACCCTGTTTTCAAACGTCTTCATTTATGCTAAATAAAATACTGCATACCCTTTCAGCAAGGATGGTATAATATTTGATTGTTATACTTCTAGATGATGAAGCACTCATCGGCGATTGGTTTGATAGTTGCTATGGTGATAATATCATGTGCCAGGCCTGGTATAGCTAAGCTTAGCGAGGCGACAGAAGACCTGCTTTTGCGCTTACTGACTAGGTACGTGTTTGAATGTATATCAACGATCTTATCGAAAAAGAATAAACGAAGCCTCAGTCATATTTAGACTGTATTTTTGTATGCCCGCGGTACAAGTGAATTGCTAAGGTGCCGTGATACTTAACAGAAAATGACAAAACAGTAAGTGACAAAACCATGCTGGATTTCAAACATTTTTTGAATCAAGATAACAGAGTTCTGTTTTGACCTCCACTCAGTTTAATTTAGTTCCACATGTCATTTACATGACCAGGATTACAATGTACATGGTCAAAATCCCCTAAACATCATGAAATAACTTCATGAAATAACTTTTTCAGCCCTCTGAAAATGTGACTGAAAAATAGCTAAAAGTAGGCGCTTAGAAAAGGTCACCGAACAGAATCTTTTGAATTTTTCAGAAAATGTGCCAAATATATCGTTCTAAATGATACAATCTTTGAAAATTCATAGATATCAATCATAGAAAAGGAAAAACTGAAAACTGAATTGAAAAGCGATCTATTTTCCTTTTTATTACCGCCATTTTTGTTTCAGACAATTAGAGCAATTTATTGGGCGAATTTCTGAAAAATTCAAAAGATTCTGTTCAGTGACCTTTCCCAGTTTCCTAAGCTCCTCCTTTTAGCCATTTTTCAGTCACATTTTCAAAGGGCTGAAAAAGTACATTGTGACCCTGGTCATGTTAATGATATTTGCAACTAGTTAAACTCACTGGAGGTCAAAACAGAACTCTGATATCTTGGTTCAAAAAATGTTTGAAATCCAGCATGGTTTTGTAACTGCCTGTTTTGTCATTTCCTGTTTAGTACCACGGCACCTTAATATTTCAATGAGTTTTCACCCCACGTATCACAAAAAAAGAACAAAAAACTTTTTAGTGCAAATTACATGCTCATGTGTTTTCAACAAAAATAGCTCATCCAAGCGCACTGTCACCCACATAATTCTTTTGAAAAAGACATCACAGTTTATTGCCATTGAACTCTTTTGGTGGACTAGCAACTAGCCGACGCGGTTGAAGCCAGTGCACTTGGATGGATGAGTCGTTTTTGTTGGAAAGGTGTGACCATGTAATTTGCACCACATGGGGCTTGTTGTTATTTTTCGTGATACCTAGGAGGAAAACTTATTAACTATTATGCAATTGACTTGCACCGCAGGCAGTTCAAAAAGCAGCCATAACTCTACGATGATTCAGATCAGTCAGATTCATAATTCAGTAAACAACTCTGAACCTAAAAAATGAACAATCAGAGGATCACGCCTCAACAGTATATGAAGAATAGAAACATATGTAAAAGGCCTAACTTTTTGACATTTCATATGATGTGCAGTAAAGCTGTGGCCTTTTGTAATTTACGGAGTTTCAGCTTGCTCCCTAGATCTTATTCTCAGTGTATTATTTCCAGGGAGTTTGCTGAAGATGATACGAAATATGAATTGCTGGGGACTGTCAAGTCATTCCAAAAAGGATATGGGTACATTACACCCGATGATGGAACCAGTGATGTCCTTGTGCAATATGTAAGTTTTCTTCTCATTTTAATTGTTGATTTCATGACAGTTATAGCCTATTCCAAGTGCCAAGCTTGGTTCCGTTCTTAATGATATCCTGCTCGCTCGACGACTAGTAAAAAATGCTTAAGGTATTCACCTCTCAAAAGATTAAAATGTTTGTTAATTATTTGACTGTTTGGAATCATTTGAAAACGTCTCTTATCGACTATGTTATCAAACAAGTACACGACACTTTATATTTTTTGTTGACTTTTAAATTGTTCTAAATTGGTTTATTTTTTTCAGTTCAACATTATAGAACCCGGTGTTAACTCGCTTGAGCAAGGACAAAGGGTACGTTACGATTTGATCCAGGGTAGAAGAGGTCCCGAAGCAAAAAACGTATTTCCACTAACTAGAAGCTAGAATGCAATCAACGCATACATAACTAAAGGACGTCAGAGTAGTCTAAACACAGAGACACTATTCTACTTTGATAACCATCATATTGTAATTATATCAAACTCGCAGAATGACGTAATTGCTAGATTTTCCACGACTTAGGCCTAACACGTATATAATATACAGTTAACAGCTGGGCGGCCAAACCAAAATATGACGTCACGATTATCACTACGCGCCGGTGATTAAAAATTCTCGGCATACGTCCAGAATCTCCACTTCCCGAATAGATATTCTAATCCTGTAAAAACTACAAAATATTTACACTTTATACTTGGCAGAGACATAATGTATAGTTTCTTTTTACGATTTAAATAGGTTTCGATCACGCAACTTCAATATAAGTAGGGTAATTTGAACTTTCATTGCGAGAATTTTGAAGACCCCTTGAAACAATCGAATAAAAACCACTAGTTCGGTAGGCAGTTTGAACTGTTGTTTTCGACTTGTAACATGTATTTTCAGATTTCAAGGTGTAACTTTATAAGTCATGACGTGAGTGGTCTATGTCCCTTCATATAAGTGTGTCTGGATCTATACTAGACAGATTCGCTGGACATTAAGTTGAAATGAGCTGTCCTTATCGGGGCTGACTCGATTTGGAATCAGCTGAATGGCGATTTTCCTTCTGACATTCGACGAGTTTAGTGAGCTCTTCAACCGATTTGTTCTTGGTAAATCGCTTGACCAACGAGATTAAAAGAAAGTCTATATCATATAGGTACTGCACATACCTTAAAACTGCATAACACGCGCGATTATTTGTATTTAATCGTCTCTTTACCGTCTCCTGATGTCTATTCTAGAGTGAGCAACTACATGTACTTGTCAAATACATTCCACGGGAGGTCAATGATACCGGTCACTGAGTACAGTGACCCAAAAGGCAAATTATAACATACCGATTACTAGTAGTACCCGGTTACCATAGAAAATATAACTTCTATTGGTAAATGTAACTAAATCAGAAAACTCAGAAAATATAGAATAATAACGTTAATTTTGATTTTCAACTGAATATTATATTGAAATTGGAATCTGAGAATGTTCAATGCTGGGGCATAAATAAGGAATGGCAATAATATATGGAAAAGTATATTCATAATGTACATGAATGACATTTGTATATCATTGCAAGAGGTTACATTTCTTCAATTATCACTGAAGGGGCTTAACTTGAGGCAACCATTGTCTAATTCAAATATAGACCGAAAAGCAGGGGTAATATTGTCGAATACACCCCGCGTGAAATGTTGACTTTGTTTACATTTTATAGAAGGCGTGAATACATTCGTGTTCGAATATAAAATTTAGCATAGAATTTATGCCTGGACTGGAATAAAAGGAGACGTCGCCGTACGGAGAACAGTCTCTTGGGCTCATAATTTTTTAATGAAAAATTTAGAAATATCACCCAAATTAAATCATGAATATTCAAAAGAACACACTTAATTCTGCAAGATGTAAAAATATCACAATTGTTCGAAGCAGGGGTAACGTGCAGTAGACCGATTCAATAAAATACAATTAGTCTAGAATTGGAGAAAGAAGTTCATCAGTTTACTGCACTCATAATATCACCCAAATTAAATCTTTTCAAAAGAAGACATTCAAATCTAGCCTAAATAATGTAAAAGAATTGTGCAAAGCAGGGTAACGCTAGAGTGATGAACTTCGTTCTTCAAATCGAGAATACTCATTTGTTGAAAATGTTATACCTAGCATTTGTAACAGAATTATGCCTGGTACATACTTTTGCTCTAATAATGCAATATTTAATGTTTTCATGCTGGGGATATAATTGCAAATTTTGTAAAAATTATGCTAACAACAAATATGACACAGACAGATGTTATAATTATTTTAAATATTATCAATAATTCACTTTATTTTCATGATATTCAATACAATTTATATAATATTGCATGTGTTCAATATAGCAGAACTTGATTGATACCTTCTAAACCATACTATAAGGGAACGAATTCATCATCATTCATAGGGAAGTGATTTTAAAGTGTGCCCCAATTTCAGACACAGATAGACATGATAGAAACCAGAACAACGGCAATGCCAAAGCGTAGCGAATCCCATTGAACAGAAATGGCTGGCATTTTTACAAACGAATGCAAATATCATAAAACAACACACCAGAAAGGCCACCATTTTCAAAATGGTTGCTCACTAGCCAAGTTGTCATCAGGAGAAATAATATGCTTTTAAGTAGCCATCTCTAAAATTTTCGAAAAATCGCACACATACTTGTAAAATAACACACATAAAAATGGTGGCCATTTTTCAAAATGGCCGACTACTCCCCAAAGTTTAATTAGACAATGTGCCATACTTAAAGTATTCACATATCAAATATGAACAAAATCGCTCCAATACTTTTCGAGTTATAGTAAAATACGTTAAAATGGCGGCCATTTTTCAAAATGGCCACCTTCTACCAAAAGTGTCATTAGAAATAGACAGTGTACCATGCTTATAGTATTCACATACCAAATATGAACAAAATCGCTCTACTACTTTTCGAGTTATAGTAAAATATGTTAAAATTGAGCCATTTTTCAAAATGGCCGCCTTGTACCAAAAGTGTCATAGGACAGTGTGCCATGCTTATAGTTTTCACATACCAAATATGAACAAAATCGCTCCACTACTTTTCGAGTTATAGTAAAATACGTTAAAATTGAGCCATTTTTCAAAATGGCCGCCTTCTATCAAAAGTGTCTGTAGACAGTGTGCAATGCTTATAGTATTCACATACCAAATATGAACAAAATCGCTCCACTATATTTTGAGTTACAGCAAAAATCGTAAAATGAACTTCGTTCGATGGGATAATAAATGTAGATCTAGACAGACAGGAAGTGTGTAATTGAAAAATTGACCAAATGACATTAAAACTTGATACATTTGACCAAGTTTTTGGAATGAGGATATTCTCAAAATTTCAGTTTTCATGAATCTCGTTCTAGCTTTTTAACAGAAAATAATAGGACAAGACAAAAACTAATAAATATCACTCTCAATGAGCATAGCACCAGTCGATTTGTATGAAGTTCTATCCTCCAGAGCTCCGAAAGTTGGTCAGCTATAGACTTTGAAGTTGTACATCAAAGTTGTACAAATTCAAATTGAATACCATGAGTGGAAGACATTTTGATGACAAAATATATTTAAAAATTCAAAATGGAGGCCATGTGAAATAACTGATAGGTTGTTTTCTTGGTATTTTAATGACAAGATATATGTGGCATCCATCCACCAGGTTGCATGCTGATTTAGCAGAAAATGAGAATAGAACATGTAAAAATTACAGTTAACATTTTTTTTAAAATCATAATTTCATAATTCCAGCGACATATTTCTAACCCTTTTTCTCAACACAGCCCCTGTGAGGAGGGGGGTCATGCCAAAAACTCACAGATTCAATGGATAGACAACCAAAATTTTAGATAAGCAGAAATAATCATTAATTTGGTTAAAATGAAAAACTAAGATTTTAAAAACTATTTACCAATGTACCAGTGTACAGGGTGTCCAGAAAGTATGGGACCCCCTAGGCAGACATATACCAATGCCTTCACAGTATGTATTATATAACATTTTGAGGGTTATCAAGAATTACATTGACTTGTCCAGTATCATGATTCAACTCTCAAATAGTGTTTGGCCAAGGTGAGGGTAGATACTCCATGGAAACTCTTTATTTCCTTAAAAATGTTTTAAGAGGATTTAAAATGCAACATGGCCAAGGAAAGACACACTACTACTAATTTAGTGTAAAACTGAACTTCAACTGTAGCCAGAAACTAAATTTTGAAAAATCTGTAACCTTTTTCCAATTTGGGAATTGACACATCATACTTGGCAAATCAATGTAACTTTGGATAAGCTTTAAAATCACATATGACAATGGGGGCATTGGTACATTCTGCCTATTGGGGTCCCATACTTTTGGGACAGCCTATAAATCTTTCCAGCAAATACATGAAATAGTATTTTCCAGAATATTTACAATATTAGTATTTTCCAATATATCCTTATCTAATTTTGAATCATAAATCATTACCTCAAAGGGTTGGAAGACAGGAGAATCAAATTGTCCCTGCTAACTGACTCTCTTTATAGTTCAATTTTCATGTCAACATCAAAGTCGTGTTATCATTCATTGTTATCATTTTGAGTATATAGTTCTTGGCATCTCGTTAACATTGCACAGTATCATTTTGTTTTCACCTTATCAATACTCTGCTGTTATGGACATGGTCTGGTCTTATAATCTCCATTGTGTTTCATCAGAAACTGAGTTTTTCAGATCAGACAAAGTTGATTTAACTGTACCATTAATAGGTGATGGTGAATGCTGTAACGTTACGCCTTCATTTTTGTTGATTGATTCATGTGAAGTTGTAAATCTGAGCTTGATATTGTTGATAAGTATCTAGTAACCTTTGAAGCCAGTCATTTTTGCACCTATGGCAGGGAACATCTTCAGCCAACACAAAAAAATCTGAAAAATTAGAAAAATACATGAATATTAATGTTATATTATA